TAGTAGAGACTGGCAAATGATTCTAGTGAACATATGAAAACACACTGGAGAACTGCCTGTTCATCACCACTTGCCGTCACAAGGTGGAAGAGTGTTTTCTGTTTGAGAGAAGAACTCAGCCTCAATACCCAAACAAACACAACTCCAGGTATGTTTTTGATGAGGGAACAACATTATAACATACATCACAAAATAGTGTCATATGGGCCCTTTAATAATTGGATGCCTCGCAGATGCATAACACTGAAACACTGGTTAAGGATATTGTGGAATATGTAAGAAAAGAAAAAACAAAACATTTCTATTTCACAAACACTTTAAATACTGTATTAATTTATTTGCAGAATTTTATGGTTGTCAGCTATGGGCACTGTGTTTCAATTAGAATTTCGTTTCTTGAAATAACAGTACATTTCCAATATTCAAATTGATGTTGTACTATCTATCAGAACAAAGGAACCAGCATCAAAGTCGGACTACAAACACTTTCTTTCGATGTGTGCCTAACCCAGATATGTGCATACATTTGCTTTCTTCATCCTTTTCATATATTTTTATACTTCATATACTTTTTCTGATGTCCGCTCTGTTCTGTGGGGACCGCTGATGTCACAGTATGGGAGTGTCTAATTGGTTTTGTGCAAGCTAACAGGATCAGATGCATGTTAGTGTGAATTAGGTGAGGAATCATGCTGAGGTGGTATCTATAACAGGTTTTCTCACATGCTATCCCCACCATCATTCTCCATATCTCTCCTATGCCCATATTTTGACCCCTCTCTTCAGTCTGTCTGGCTTTGCTATCATCAAAATAGAACCCAATCCAATTACAAGTCCAACATACGCTCACAGGGATGCATACAGCTCGCCTCTCCTAACCTCCCTGGGGAACCAAGTCCGGCCTCAGCTGCTAAATTGCCTAAACTCCCTCATCGGCTAATGGGCTACCTGTCTTCCAGCATGGCGGCTTCACTCTTGACTTTAACGAGTTCCTGTTGTTTGCCTGTGATGTCAGCTGTCCACTGTTAGATATATGTTTGGCTCAAACTACTCCGAGGCTGCTTTTTCATGTCTGTCCATCTGGCCGGAGTGCTCTGTGATTCCCAAATTGCTTGCACGCTCTTTATTCATGAGCAGTTTTCAGTGAATTTATGGAATATTGCATCATAAAATATTAACAGTGACTTTGCACGACCATATTGTGGAGTCTGCTTGCCCTTGTGTTTGTTATTGTGGCTTGCCTCCAGGTCCTTGGTTGCATTGCATATTAAGGTGAATTGGGAAAAAAGTTAAAATCTCACAGCTATTGGGCGGCCTGCACAATATTGCAATCTAATCTAATAAAATCACTATTATTAAATTCCAAAGGCTGTAATTATTTAAATAATAGAATAGCCACTGAAAAATCTTGTACCTATAGTTTGGACTTTTATTAACATGTTCTGAAATTTTAAGATAAGATGCTGTATTAGTTTCGTTCTTAAGACTTCTCTCATATCGAATTTCCTGGAGTTGTTTACAATGTACTCTCTGAACAAATTCCTATTTTATTTCTTTTTTTTTTTTTTTTTTTTTACAAAATCATGTTGCTCTACACAGCTAAACCTCTACGTCCTTGCTTACTGTATTTGGCATAGGCTATTGGCAGATGCCCTACCTTATTCAGCTGTTAGGTCATTCATGATTGGAGTATCCTTGATTTGAAACGTCTAGTGGATGATTATGTGTACCATTGCCTATAATTGTTTCCACTGACCTCATAGCCTACTGCTATTGTCCAGAAGTGGCCCCTATTCCAACTGAAGAATAGCAAGGTTAACCTCTCACCTTAACTGACCCAGAAATGACAACTGGTAATGAATGAATATAATTAATTCTGTTTTTGTTTTTTTGTTTTTTAAATATATATAACCGCAGTTCATACACTGATAAGCTTGAAAAATACCCACGAGAAGCCCAAGACCTAAAACATCCCCCTATATTGATGTTAAAGTTACTGATGCACAAATAGCATATTAAGATTAACCGTGCAGCCCTTTTTCCAGTTGAGTTGATTCTCTTCACCAAATGCCCATTTCGATGATAAATACAACCAATTACAGAAAACCTCCAAGTAGTTAGTCAAACCAGCTGGGGCCAATACCAAGATATCAGTAGGAGGTATAGATATAGTTAATGTATGGCTAGAGGAAATGCTATTGCTGTATTGATATTTTTTGCTCTGATCCTTAATAGCCCTATGGTATATTGTGGATAAAAGGGAAGTCATTATTTAGCTTACAGACACATGCAATTGCTCTTCGACCCTTTGTATTAATATGTTTGTATATGCCTCCTCATTGCTCATGGTTTTATGTTATAGACACTAAAATGTTGTCATAGCAACCAAGACCTTGACACTAACAATACAGCTATTTTTCCATCTATCCTAGGTTAGTGTGTTATGAAGGAATCCCCTTTATAACCATTTCTATTGTAAGATTCTGCCTTTGTATTACTCTGAATAGGCCTAGGTGCTGTTTAATCCACTTCTTATTTCACACAATGTCTGCCTTTGCATTGACTTTTGAATTATATCAAGAAGCGCAGATATATCGTATTGGTTTTGATGTGGTTTGTTGTGCTCTGTTTGACAAATGATATAATTATCCCCCCCTTTTTTTCCTTTCCTTTTCATTATTTCTGTATTGTCTGTCAGTGTCAGCCCATTCTGTGCAGTGTATCATAAATAGAGACCCTGCTGACATTTCAATTTGCCCTGTAACCCTTCATATATATATAAAAATACACACACGCGCCAAGTTCATTGTTGGGGATCAGGGATAGGTCTTTGCTTGGTTTCCATAGCGACAGGGTAGAAAGCAATAACGGCACACTTGACCCCGGTGCTCTTTTGGCGGCCTCTTCGCACACTCGCACCTCAAATCTAATCTGGGAGAGTAGGCCGCCAAGTGATATCTACCCATCTGCCCCAGAGGATTCAGCAAAACAGGATAAAAAAAGGCAAGGCAGGAGATGTCGGGAGGGGTAGGAGTCAATAATTTCATCTGGCAGTGTCCTGGCAAGATTATTAGATCAATTGTTTTAGCTGCCATTGGGAAAAAGTGGGATACCATGGAGTTGGGAGTAAAAACAGGGTGCATTGATTGGCATTTTTATTCAATCTTAGCTTATACTGAAGTAAGTGTGTTTAAAAGATGAAAAGTGGATCACTATTTCATGAAAACAATAATTGCAGCAATACAGTGAATGTAAAAGGAGTTAGAGGAGAGAAACAAACCTATGGCAATGCTGGCTCATTACTGGTAAAACATGCGTCAGAAATTTAAAAACATTTTTGAGTGAACATAGCATCTTGATCTTCATTGGTTCACTATTATATTAAGCCAACTTGGAATTTTGTTAATACTTGGAATGAAGCAACAAAAAGTGAGAAAAAATGTTGACAGAATTATCAAACTGGCAGAAGAGTCGGCCACCTGCTTATCGTCATGGAAACAACAGGCCATATTACAGGTCACATTTGATTTGTAGAAAGACAACCCCACTCACAGTCAGAAGGAATGTTTTTCAAGGTACGATAGAGTTAATGCCATTCTGTGGAACATTCCAACACCTTCTAGCAAATAGTGAGCCCCTATAAGAAGTTACATTGTGCATTTATAAGTTTTTGTACCTACAGTATAAGGCTTACAGCTTATATGCACTTTTTAAGGTCATGCAATGAAAAGGCACAAATGACTGCTCTGTTTTTTCATACACTAGACACCTACCATCTTTTACCTGAGCTGAGGATGCCATCTTACAGGGCATTCAGCAGCTGTCACGAACCCGAGTGGATTGATGGATGGAAATGTGAAAATATTGATGATTGTCTGACACAACGGGAGCCTGGATGAGTACAAGTGTGAGAGTCCAGGATGAGATGAAGAGGCCGTGTTAGCAGCACTGACAGGCCAGCCTTAGCGACACCACTGTTAGCTGTTTATTCCAGTCTCCAGTCTCATTAATCTTCATATTGGCAGAGCAGGAGATGATTCCCTTTCTCTGTTTATTCCGTGTTGATATTTCTGCTGAGCTTTGTGTGTGAGTGCCGTAGTGAAAATGTGTGTATGTGTGACCTGTTATTATCATGGTGGTGCAGCTGAACTCACGCTCTCTACAATCAACGCTCATCTTTCAGTGCTGTCTTAGAGGGATTCCCTGTTGTAATAATGAAATGGACACATAAGACTTGTATTTACTTAAGCAGTACAATGTATTATAAAGTATATTTTAACTCTTAAATTGCCTAATTCTATATAACACCTGTTGCACTGTTTAACTAAGATGTAAAATCTATGCTTGTTGCAATATGTGTTCTATTTTTATAAATTAGTAAGAAATGTTTTTAATACTTCTTACTTATACACACAATTTCCATGATTCTGTTTTTTCATTGGACGATCAGTATAATCAGAAATAGTCCATTCTAAATCTGCCAGTGTGTGGCTTGTTTAAGAGCCTATGATTGTAAACATGTTGAGTGGCCGCTCTCAGGGCACGAGTCCAGTCTCCAGTGCAGTTGGGCACAATAAAAGATTGCTCACAGTGATTTCTGGCTCTTAGTAATCAGGTCAGGGTCGATTGGATTGCTTCATCTCTCTGAGAGTATGCAGTACTTGTGTATGTGTACTTCATGTGAACATGCAGTGTTTGTGTGTCAGCACGTCCTGCAGGGCTGCCTTCTGTAGCACAGGTGTGTTACTTTGTGTAGTTCTACACAAAATACATCATATATTTCAGAATCATGTTTCTATTACACAGTTTTTCATGAAATGTGGTAATACCTTTTATGTCGTCAGATGTGCTTTGAAAATTAAATTCAAATCTCTTGGGATTTACTGTATTTGAATGAGTCAAAGTTATATTTAGTCTTTTGTAAAGTAGGTTTCCAGGTGTATTTGCTGTGCTTACATCTTTTTAATCCCTTTTTTCCTATTCCTGTTTGTTCTCTCCAGTTCTCAAAGGAGAAGTACCTGCTAGAGTCTCCCCCTGAGAAACTGCGCAAAGAGCTGGAGGAAGAACTGAAGCTGAGTCCTGCTGACATCCGGAGCCATGGCTGGTACCATGGACACATACCCAGAGAGGTGCGTATGCCACAGAACAGAGAACAGTGTGGAACATTACTCTGCATGAGGTATGAGCTGTGTTAGAGTACTTGTAAACATTAACATAAAATATACATGCCTTATTGGTTGTACAAACAGTCTTCATGTAAGCCTGTATTTTGATCATATTTTAGATTTAACTTCCCATCAATTGTAGCTCATTACTGGTCAATATACTGCAAAGTGGTACATCTGCAATGGACTGTAATCTGCTGCTACTAGAGCTGACCCTGTAAAAGTCATCATTTATTTTAGAGCCTATTGAACATGCACAAATCCTTACACATCTAAAATAGTATCATAGTCTACAACAGATGCTAGTATAAAAAGATAATTGGTGATATGTACTTCATCTATCAGTTATCATAATGTTAAGTTATGCATGTCTGCTCACATAATAGAATTCATTGTTTTGCTAGAGGGAGTTAATTCCTAATTCTACCTTCATAAAAGTCTAAGCATATTTCATTGCCCTCATAAAGAAGTCATGTGATATTAAATTATTAGGAAGATTCAGTTGCAATGAAGCTATCCCTAACCTTGAAAAAACACCTATACATATTTATTACATCCCCTAAATGCATGCATGTCCTCCTGTCATTAGATAGCACCCACACCAACTTCCTGGGTTACAGTGAACACTACATTGTAAAAATGATTTGCAATGTAACTTGAAAGCGTCATCTTGCTGCAATGAATGATTTATAAGGACATAAGCTGAAGTATATGAAGTCTGAGATTACTACTTATGGTAATATACAGTAACTTTAAGAAATGAAATGACATCACTCATTGAGCCAGGCAGGTTTTTATAGTGTAGTAGAGCATGGGTCAAGGTCAAACAATATAAATTTCCATGTAATAGGAGAAGAATTAAGAGTTTAGATTGAACATTTTAAGGGCCTTACTCCTTAGATTTGGTTACATGGAAAAAGAATGGAGGTAATGTATTTAATAACAATATTCCTTTTTTTTTTATATGAGACATACTATCACTAAACTGAAGTATCAATTATGCCAATATTTATTTTATTTTCCAACATTGAATCTACTACTTAATTGTGTACTATGTAGCTTTTCTTATGGAGTGTCCACCACTTGTTTGTCTCCATGGAGATGTTATAACTTAGACTTTAGCATTTATTCAGTTACAGGGGTTTTTATTGCTTTAGAAAAACATTTTAAACATGCATTCTTACTATGAGTGGGTGTGTCACTCTACAGATCTGATATGTAATTCTGCCTGGTAGAGGCACCTGCCGCACTTTTGAACATTCCAGGCTAAGCAATAACATCTCCATAGATAGAGGCAAGCCGATAACTTGCTCTCCACCAAAAAAAACAACAACAAAAAACATGACATACTACACCTTTAAAACACACACACACTGTATATTTAACCATTGCATCGACTTCAAATCTTTTTTTTCTTCCTTCAGTTCTGGTTGATGTGATTGTCACCCAGCCATTGCGACTTGTGCCAAGATGTGTGGATTCTGCGAGCAACATTTAAATACTTTACACACAGAATGACACTGATTAATGAATCCCATCATCTGTCACAGCTCAGTAGAAATTGCTTTAGCGTTGTGGAGGTGGGAGAGCGTGCCAAACAGACAGCTGCGTGTGTTGCCCCCTGTGTGCAATTGGATTTCACAGCTGGTGACTAAAACACAGATACACACCAGAGGGATTGGGGGGGGGGGGGCAGACCTGAGCCCCTCCCTTCTCTAGGTGCACATGTGGAGGGCCCTTGTTCCCCCAAAACACAGCCAGCCCCCCAACACTTGATCAGGCTCTGTGTTCTCTCCCACTCACAACAAAAACCATCTGGGAGGCTTTCCTCATTTAATTTACATAAAATATTCATGTATTCGTCCGTGTGCTCCAGTGTAAACTTTGGGGGAACCCACAGCCCCTCAGCTACCATAACAATGATTATGGACTCCTTCGTACACTTATTAAAAAGTATATTAGATTTGTTCCTTTTATCTTTTGCATATCATTTTGGACAAGGTTTTACAAATGTCCTTCCTGATGCAACACTGATGAATGGATGTTTGAGTGCACCTGTTACCCCCTGTAGCTGTTGTGTGTGCTAATTTGTAATGACTTTATGTAAACATGTTTATTTCCTAAAATAATGATCGCAGAGAATATCAAATATACTCAAGGCACCAAGTAATGTTTTTGATCCTTAATTAACAAAATTGCAAACATTTTTGTTGCACAATGTACAAGTCGTCATGGTGACATGTGACAGACAGGGCAATGTGCTTTAACATTTACCATTAGAACACGCTCACAGAGCTTTGAAATGTGCAAGTGCTGCCACCTGCTGGTGAATGGCATAATGCAGCACTGTAAAACACAGTATATTTGCACTGCATGGTAAAAGCCAATGTTTTCTGAATGTTTCTTTTGTTTTAAACTCCACTAGTATGTCTTATAGGATATCACTCTTGTGTGAAGCTTCTTTGTAGCAATCGATATTTGTGATCTCTTCTCATAGAGAAACTAGAGACAGCGCAGTGGTTGGTATCAGCAGGATGCACAGCCTCAGGCGGATCTATTGACCATGAACGGGAGATTGTTTTCTGCATTGCTCATTTTGTCAATACATTTAAAATAACTTTCATATTTGCTGTAGTCATGCAATCATGCCAGTGGCACTGTAATTGTATTCGTTATTGCCCCCAAGGCTCTATAAATTTACTGTAAATAATATCTAATTCGTGCACTGTGGCATCAAAATGAAAGGTTTTGTAGAAAGGAAATAGTAGTGAGGTGTAATAAAATGACTGAACCTGTTTAATATTTGTTTTTGTTTTTTTCTGTTGCAGGTATCGGAGACACTAGTTGTGAGGAATGGGGACTTCCTTGTGCGAGACTCTCTGACCAGTGTGGGAGACTATGTTCTGACATGTAGATGGGACAACGAGGTTCTTCACTTCAAAATCAGCAAAGTCTTAGTCAAATCTACTGAAACAAAGGTAGCAATTAGGCAACAGATATTGTAGTATTATCACAGAAAAGTGCATGACTGACAAATTTACATAATCATTACATGTTTGTCAGTTTTTGGTATATACAGAACTATTGTTTGCTTCTAAAAACATATGATGATTGCTTCATTAATCAAAAGACTTCAATATCAAATGAATGCCTCTGTGTAGTCTTTTTCCTTCTGTATGTGTAATTAGTATTCTTTGTCAAAGAAGTTGTTTAAAAAGTATGTGGCACTGCCTTTTGAGAATTGTGGTTGAAATGGTAATTGTACTTTTAGACAAACTTTATTGATAAGCAAAAGATGTTCATTTTGTCTTCTTATATACTTTAACTTCTTGGGTTCTTTTTAAAGACAATGCAGTAAAGTGTATTTACCTTGTTGACATGTTTCGGCTGCTAGCTGCAAGCCATGTTCAGAACTGTCCAGTTCTGAACATGGGGAATTACTTGGACACAATAGCTTACACATTACATTTTAATGAAATATAAATTCATTTGAGTTGATCCTGAGCTATATAAAGCAAATCTGTAAATGAAATCTATGAGAATAACACATTGTTCTTCTGTAGGTGCAGTATGTGTTGGAGTCAGACAGTTTTGACTCAGTCCAAGAGCTGGTCAGGTATTACATTGGGCAGCGTAAAGTGGTTTCCCAATCTAGCGGGGCCCACATCTACTGTCCTGTCAGTCGGACACTCCCTCTGAGGTATCTGGAGGCCACCTTCGCCCTGTCCAATAAGCAGGGCTCCGCCTACTCCCCCACCAGCCAGAGAGGCTCTTACATCAAGAGAAGGAGTGTGACTATGACTGACGGTCTGACCACAGAAAAGATGATACCTCACAGGTAAGATGGGTTTAATCTGCTCAATTCTTATGTTGTATTTAGATGTTTGTGCTACTAATTAAATGAGTAAAATACAGTTTTTGGACATTTAAAAGTATTTCACCAACCAAATTATTAAATACAATTTGTTCATTTCAAACCATATTTTAAACTACTGCAACTAACTCTTATAGGTATAAATGGCACACATCTATTTCAATATTCTATAGATCAATCATATTTATTCCATAGTGGTCAGCCAAATTCAATATTGTTCAAATGCAGATTTGTGTTGTAAAATACAGTGAGTTCTTGGGTCTAGTCACTAATAGTCAATAGTGGGGTGACTCAGTCTGCCCCAGGACAGCTGTGGCTAGAATAGAAATTTACCACCACCAAATGTGGAGTGAATGAATAATGAACTGTAATGTGCTTTGGGTATCTTGAAAGGTGCTATATATGCAATGATTAATGAATTAATAGAAATGATCAGGTTCAGAGTTTGTGCATTTACCTTTTGAATGTTTCATGGTAAATTACAATGAAATCAAAAGGAAAAACTGGCTCTTGCCCCGCCCATCTGGGAGTATGACATCATCACACTATAAAATCTGAAAACCACCTATGAAATGGTCTACACTTGGAAGATATTTTTTGGTCAATTGTTTTTTCTTCTCAGTTTTATACGCTGTCAGGGTTTTATAGTGACTTAGGCAAGCAATCTTGACAAACCTAACCAACTCATCTTACATTTATTATTTACAGCTTATATTTTTTGATTTCTTGTATTTACTTTAATTTGAAAATAGAGAAAATGCTATCATTTTTGTCATTTCCAACTTAATTTTTTTCAGATTCCTTTTAGCAATTTTAATTTCTGTTTCTTATTATAAAATCAGTGACAGCTCCACTACTCCCAGCCCAATTGAGATTCCAGTGGCCTTTCCATTGGCCCCTCCTGTGGCCCCTGCAGTGGACCCCGAACCAGAGCCTGTGCCCAGCTGCAGGTGGTGTTGTGGTAGTGTTGTTGTTAAGGCCCTATCAAGTACACTGGCGACCCCTCACTCTGCAGCCCCATCAGCACTTCCTCTAGTGTAGTGAACATCAATCCCCTCACAGTCCCCTCACAGCAGCGCTTCACACTGACTCTCCCACTTGTGCACTTAATCCATCATTCTCTTAGAAGGTACCGTCCAGATCAGAGGAGCAGACAAAGTGTAAATCCTACCAAACTCACAGATAGACAATGTAAGAGTAACTTTAGAAGGTTTAGTTGCATGTATGATAAAATGTGCCCATAAATCATTATCAAAGTTATGATTCATTTTACATCAGTAATACCAGTGTGTTAAGGCTTCATAAAATGACTTTATACTACTAATGTATATTATACAGGATTTATTCTTTCTCTGACATTTTGTCTCCTTAGGCAAGACATTTTACCCACCTTGCATAGTATGAATGTGAGAGTGAGTGGTTGTCTGCCCCTGGGCAGCTGTGGCTACAGTAGTACCTGACTATTACTGTGGAGTATGGAGAGAATGAAAATTGATTACAGTGTTATATATAAATGTACAGCAATAACTCTACTTGACATTATTATAGCGGAAACTGGAGTAATACATTATCATACACAATAACATTAAAACAAATATTGATATAGTACAGATGAGGGATATATTGCTCAAATCATACAAAGTTTTGAGTCTTGACAATATGTTGAATCTAGTTGTGTCAGTGATCATTTGGCTGTTTGTTGTACTTTTTTCTGCTCCTTCCTCATTAGCTTTTAAACTGTTTGTGCATAAATAACACAATCTAATGTGTTACTTATGATGCTTAACAACTCCCTCAAAACCTGTAAAACCACACAGTAATTAGCATTCATACCCTTAACCTCCTGTTCCTCCCATGGTGTGCCACCCTGTGAGCTCTGTGAGGTTCACTGCACTGTACTGACAGCTGGTTACATTTTGAATACATTTTAACATTCTTACTATGTTGTTTGCAGCCCGTCCACTATCCACCACCATAAAGATGCAATGCGCAACTGTGCCATGAGCATGGACCAGATCCAAGAGTACCGCTGCCCACTTTCCCCAGTTGGAGAAACACCCATGTCTCCAGCATACACAGCCAGTATGTTATAGACCAGTTAAAGTAGACTTAATCATATATTCCTTGATACTTAAGTGAGTTTGGTTCTCTTTCTTCTAGTAACCAGGCAAAGATGTCATTCAGGGGGGCGTGCCCTGGCAGTAGTCCCGCCCTCTCCTGTACTGCGCCGTTCCAGCGATCCACAGCTCAGTCCTACTGCCTGTAACAACCCACCTGAACACCCCGCCCACACCTCTCACTCTACTCACTCCTCGCCCGCCCACCACCCCAACTACCAAACACATTCCTCCGAGACAGCTGGCAGCTACTGTGACCTCAGACCGTGTGCCCCACCCAAACCTCCCACCAAGAGCTACGTAGAGAGGCTACGAGTGGAGGAAGGGAGAGAGGAGGGGGTGAGGGCAGATGGAGAGGGGCTGTTCAGTGCACCGCAGGTGGAGAAAGCGTCTTCATTCAGGCCATCCAGGTATGTCAAACAAGCACATACACTATTAGAACTAAATGTGGGCACTTTCTGATTGAATTTGTCTATAGTGTGAAACCCAGTAGTTTATCTCCTCAAAATGACCTGCCCCTGCAGGCCTTAAAATCAAAGCAAACACAAATTTCAAGTGTTGAGGCAACAGTAATAAAACAGAGTGCAGTCAGCAGTCCAGTGTCACTATTTATAACATTGTGAAGATCTTTTCACATGTGGTCACCAGCCAAAATCCCTTTATAAATGTTGACATCATATCACAGATTTCTGCTTTGGTTTCACATTGCTTGGTGATACCTTCCCTCTGACTGACTGTACCTGACAGTTGCTTATGTATCACATTAATAATAATAATACAGTTTTTTTTTTCAAAGGTCACTGCTCCACGTGACATTCTGTGGTCACAGGGGTGAGGAAGCTTAGACCAATGCTTTTACACTACAAATGTAGCCCAGACTGTCAAATAGAGTGAAGCATACAGTTTGCCGTCCTGGGAGGAGGCCTAAGGGCAGGAGTTCTGTACTGATGGGAGTGTGATAGGACTTACTGACTCATGGCTGGACAGAGGCCAAGTTTGTACCAAAACAGAAAAAAAAATGATATGATGCAGATTTGAGCCACTTGTGCACAAAGTCCTGTTCTGTAAAGTAATGTGTTTAATTTATGTTTTAGAGCCACTTAGTTAATTTAAGTTAATTCAGATCAAATACTTGGTAGTTTGTTGCTTTGTTAGACAAAATAATAAACTATTTTAACCATGATTTATAGTTTGGAAAAGAGAAGACACTGCAACCATGGGAAACCAGAACTGAAAACACATAAAACAATATTGTTATTTTTATAAAGATCGTAAGATAGAGATGATGATCGACTTTATTAACAAAATGCCATTTCTTTATGTAGAATGTAGTAAACTACATAAGTTACTATTATCAGCTAAAACCTCTGCTTGTTTATAGGTTTGAGTCATGCCTTTTACCACTGGAGAACAAACCTCTGGAGATGACAGTGCTGAAGAAGGTCAAAGAGCTTCTGGCTGAGGTGGACGCTCGGACTACAGCTAAACACATCACTATGGTGGACTGCAAGGTATTTTTGCCTCTACAATTAATCTATGTATCAAACATCATTCAATTTATGGACAGACAAAACTAACTACTTCTTTTATTATAGGTTGCAAGAATATTAGGAGTCACTGCAGAGCAGCAAAGGATGATGGGAGTGTCCTCTGGGCTGGAGTTACTGACCCTGCCTCATGGACACCAGCTCCGACTGGACTTGTTGGAGAGGTACACAGTCTATCTAGCAGCCCCTTGTAATGCATCATTCAGGAGCTGGTTCATTAATGCAGCTATTGATCCTCCCTTTAGTCTTCTCAGTAAGCCTCTGTCCTCTTTTGCTCTCTCTTCCTCCTTTCTTCTCTTGTATCTCCTGCTGCTTTTTACATTATCACTGGCCAGATTTGGGTAGTAATGAGTTGTGTATACTTAGTTATATTTACTTGAATAACCATTTGCAGGAATACCTCTAGTATTTGTATGACCCCAGACTTTTACGTCTACTTAAATAATATTAGTATAAATTCAAGTAACAGTAGGCCTTCAGTTACTCTACAGGATGGCATAAGTAGTATCGATCTCAATGGAGAATGTCCCAAAATATAGCTTTAACTTTCTATTTCTATGTAATCTCGCATGTGACATGCTACCTCCAAGTTTTGGCAAGCCTTTAGGTTGACACACACCCCTCCTAACTCTAGAAATTCTTGGATGAGAATGTATTATTTCTTCTCTTCTTTTACTGTCATCTAGTCTTGGTAATGCCTGAAAACTATCTGCGTGTACAAGTAAAAAAAAAAAAAGATTACTACTTTTTCTTTTCGCAGCAGTATTTTTCTATTTACAATCTTCAATTCTCATCATAGATTCTACACCATGTCCATAATGATGGCGGTGGATCTGCTGGGCTGTACGGGAAGCACAGAAGAACGGGCTGCACTGCTCCATAAAACCATCCAATTAGCAGCGGAGCTCAAGAGCAACATGGGGAACATGTTTGGGTTTGCAGCTGTAATGAGAGCCCTGGAGCTTCCACAGGTAACACTACAGCAATACTCTTACAAATCATCATTTTACAGCTACAGATTCACTGAGATATGCTGTCTTTTGTTTTCTCATTTCAGATTTCACGTTTAGAGCAGACATGGATGACGTTACGGCAGAGACACACAGAAGGAGCCATTTTGTATGAGAAGAAACTCAAGCCTTTCCTAAAGAACATCAACGATGGCAAAGGTTGGTGAAGATGCTTCATTTCATAAAGACAACAAACCCAAACTGTTTTAATACAGTATACATATGTGGAAGATTTTATATTACTTTGTACTTATTACCTTGAAACTTTCATGTAGTCTTGAGGAATGTTTTTTTTTTTTTTTTTATGTTTTGAAGAGGCAAATTTGTCTTTTATTTCAAGTCAGTCAAATTGTATATCTGTATGGCACACAAAAAACAACTTTGATCAAAGAGTTTCACTAGATTAAATACAGATTAAAGACCTCATGAAAAAAACAGCAAATCTGTAGATTAAAGGCCCATTCACACACTTGTCTGTGCCTGGTCCTAGGACTTAGTTTGGACCGGTTCTAGACCATACTTCGTCCTGGTCTTGTTCAGGTTTACTTTAGTGTGGTGTGTGGACATCAAAATTAAACAAAAACCCATGCAGATCATGAATATTGTTTGCAGATGTAAAAAAATATACAAAATATACTAAATGTAAATAGGTGCCTGTCTGTTATATCAGAGCTACATTAATATATTCCATTGTTGCTGAAGAATACTGATACTAATCCACTTTTTTTTGCCTCCAGAGTCCAGTGTCCTGTCCAACACGACATTCCCGCACATCATTCCTGTCCTGTCTTTACTGGAGAGGGGTGTGGCTCTGGGGGAGGGGCTGGAGGCCTGGGAGAGTGCGGAGGTGGGGGTCGACGTGGTCATGCATCACCTGGAAGCAGCAAGGACCATTGCTCATCATGGAGGCATCTACACAAGCAATGTTGACACCAAACTGCAAGGTATCAACCATCACTGTGCACTTTAAAAAAAATTTAATTCAACCTTAACGCTTTCTTGACCAGTGTGATATATGTAATAACACCGGACGTGATTAGCATCAGGGTTGTGTAAGGATCATGTTTTCCTGTAGCTACTCTGTTTACTGTATTGATCCCTAGCCTTCCCCGATCGGTTCTCAGTTTGTGCCCATTACTGCTTTATTGAACAGCCTGTCAATATCTATCAGTTCACATCTTTATATTTAGTTTACATTGAACACGGCTGACCTGAGATCACTCCCTTTGCCTTGTTTAAAACATGCTCAGATGTGTTCAGCTTCATATTTTGTGTTTTATTATTAAGATTAGATTAGATATGAGATTTGGATTATTTAAATGACTGTAGGGAACAATATTATTAAAGTCCTCATGAATATTTCTCTGTAGTTCCTGTACTTCGTATAGAACTGTAATATTAATGTTTACAGATGAATGCACATTACCTGGAGGGTAGCAGACTGTGTAACTCAAAATGATTTTTACTTCTGACAATTTTTACAAAGCTGTAGCTATGCCTTAACACATTCTTTACTCGTAACATTTGGACTGGGTGAAGTACAGAGATATGGCTCAGATACATATGTGTTTTATATTACTAACATATTGGTAATAATGATTTTTTTTATTTTCCCATTTCCATCTCCACAGAGTTCCAGGAGAAAGCAGAAATTGGTGAAATCTTTCAAACCGAGTTTCAAATGCGTCTTCTGTGGGGAAGTCGTGGCTCTGAGGGCAGTCAGTCAGAGCGCTATGAGAAGTTTGACAAAGTCCTGACCGCGCTGTCACACAAGCTGGAGCCTCCTGTCCGTCACAGCGAGCTATAGCACCTGCCCTTCCCTTTCATACTGTCACCACTGCGCCCTGTGTGATCCCTATGGACACTCAACACTGGACTGGTTTCTGCTCTGCATCTGCAAAGAGTGGACACCTGCAGAGACGTTTAGAGAGGAGTAAGTTAAGAGGCAGCTAGAGCTTGTGATATGAGCAATAGACCCTGAGGAGATGGACTTGTAATAATCGTGTTGCACTCACTGTGCACTCCTTTAAGGCACAGATCTGTTTCTCTCTGTGGACTTCTTTCACTTAGTGCAAAATAATGAAAAGCAGCAGGGATGATGGACAGAGTGAGAGGGAGAAACAGTCTTTTGTGCTTGGTACAAACTGTTACATGTGTCTGAGTGATGCTCCAAAGCAGCACAGAACGCTGTTGTTTGAACCCACTGCTGTCACGCACTGTAGCAGATAAGACAATAACGTACATAGCTCATAAGAGGTGTTTTGTGAGTGTGAATGTGTGTGGATGTGTTTTTTATGTATGTTTACATTCCTACTTTTTCTCCCATCAATTCTGTCTGTGCTTTTTAGTCTTATTTATATATTTTTTTTGTTTTTTTTTTAAATGAAATTACCAATTTGGACATTTACACAGCTGCCTCATCTGTCAGTGCTCATTCAGAGTGAATCGACTTCATAAAACTCCATTAAATATGTATCAGACAGTCCCATTGAATATCATCAAAAATGTATTAGGCATGCATTAATAAATGTATCAGAAATGAAGCATTTATACTACTAATGCAGCAACATGGTTGTGGGGGCTTTGCAAGTTGTTAAAAATATTAAGACAAAGAAATTTTTCTTTGTTGTATTTCTTACTAACAACACATTGCATTTTCTTGCTTGTGGCTAAAGCAATATTTCAGTGTACAACCTTGTATTCACAGAATGTGAAATAAAAGAAAATGTACTTGTATGATCCCACACAACTTGCAAACTATAATATGAAACATGCTTGTCTCAAGACAAGGTTATGGTTACCTTGAGGACTATGGTTTGTATTCAGGTGGAATGTTGCTTTAAACTACTTCTTTGTGTGTTCGTTTTGAACAGCTCTTGCCTTTTGGCTTTTAAGTGAAGGCTTTCCAAAATGATCAATAATTTTATTTATAGTTGATTCTGATCTGATCTCACTCATTTATCATCGTTTGACTGCATTGTTCTGTTTCAGCATTTGTTTGAAAATAGCCAACACTGTACAATCACTTTAACCAAAGGGCTCTGATCCCTGAAGACCACATGCAATCCTCATTAGTTTAGGAAATTATTGTGTTTTATATACTCCCCCCCCCCCCCCAAATTTATTTATGATAAACCAGTCAATTGTTAAAAGGCCCAATTTGTATAGTTATAAATTGCAAGTCTACTGCTATCATCACTATCACTTGATATGGTAGTTTGCCATTCACTTAACCTATTGAATTCGGATTCTGCAGAAGGCAAGTAGAAATGGTGTCATTTCCATTTCTCCCCAGTAGAGGGCGCCCTGTAGTTAGAAAAGAGTAAGCCCACGATTGTAATTGAGTGGTGGCTGCACAATGCGTTCTTTTTTAGATGGGGAAGGTTTGAACTTTGTTATGACAATGGTAATAATGTATTTGATGCTGAAATGTTTGTTTTGATCTATCCTTTGAATGCTGTTTGCTCAAAAGTGCTCAGACAGGACTGAATGATAGAAACCTGAAAAGCAAAAAAGACAAATGATAAAATACTGTATGTCATGTTTTTTATGTACTGTAAATAGCAATTCACTTTTTAAAATAAAATGAATGCCAAAATGATTGTTTACTTCTCTGTGTTTAAAGAAAATTGAAAAAAGCATTGTAATTGTATTTATTAGAACAATACAGAAATCTGAAAGCCTTTCCACTATATATATATATATATATATATATATATATATATATATATATATATATATATATATGTATATATATATAACACAAAAAAATTAATTTTGCTTAAATAATAATAACATGATCAACTTTGTTTATCATAGTACACAGTTATACATTAAAATCTATAACTCTTGTGTATTATACATTAAAATGTATAACTGGTTTCTAATACTGCTTTTTACTACTAACCATGAAAGTAATGAGATATTACAACAGCTTTTTGCCAAATAGTCATACAATGTCCAGTGTATCACATTAACCACCAGGGGCAGCATTAAACCCAAGCCCCTGTATAGATCCTGAGCATCAGGCATAGGGATTCTGGTCCAGTGTATATGTGTATGTGCATGTGTGTATAGGTGTCTGCAGTCTACTCTTGGCTTCTCTTGCACTGTTCCACAGCCCTTTGTTCCTCTTTTATCATCTCCTCCAGCAGCACTCTTTCTTGACAGTGTTTTATGCCTCCAATAGGTGACAGTTTACGAGTGCTACCTTGTGAAGAAGTACCCGGCGTGAGGTGCACCAGGCATGCGTGCTAGTGCAAAAAGCATCTGACATTGTTGTGCAGACAGGTCTATGGCGATGGCAGCGGGAGGCAGACAGAGACAGATGGAGTGTGTTCCTGTGCCTTTGTCACCGTGTGTGTATATGAGAGCCACTACACAGATGTTGGAGTGCTGCTGTTGCTTAGACCCTCTTCATGCAGTAGTTAGTATTGCGGCCTGGCAGCTGTTACACTGTGTTTTCCAGGTGATACCTAAAATAGAAAGTAAAAGAATATGAAAAGGCTTTGATACAGAACAGAGAGAGGCAACCAAAGCGCATCAGCGGACAATGGACAAAGAGGAAAGAATAGGATGGGGCTACAATGGTAAATTATCATCCCCACTGCTCTTTGTCTCCTCACTCCATACAGTTCCATAGGCGTAACATGTAATGGATGTAATCTCTAAGGGGATTCTCTCTGCTTGGTATCATGGTACATGTTAATTTCAGTGCTTTATGTTCGTTATTGAAGCAGACCCAAAAACCTCTCAGGCCTGCGAGCCTGCCAAGCAGCCATCCAAGCCTCATCATTCAACCCTAATCCATCCTCATGCTAGCTTATCCCTAGTTTGCACGGGTCATTGTCACCTGTCATGTGTGACCCTGAACTCTGGTGTCACTGACTGGCAAAGCAGTTACTGTACTTCATACTTTCAATACAAGTGAGGTACTGTGCTGATAGGGACAACAAGAAAAATGTGTGAACATCATTCATTAAACTAAATGTGTCATAATTGTATTAAACACAATTTGTAAATGATAAATCATAGGCATACATGCATCAATAATGCTCACACTTTTCTATTCACAAACACAAATAAAATATTTCATGAGAACATATGCTCTGTGCATATTCTTCATATGAGTTCACCAAATAACAGCTGACACCCAGTCCAGATACAGTTATCCTTAATATGTCTCAGCAAACATGAGAAGTGCAGCTCTTCACATTCTCCAATAAATTTGCATTTTAAAATTTTCTGCTCATGTCTTTTTCTACTTGAGACACTCCAAATGAACATGTCAGCATGTCTTTATTATGGTTCAAACTTTCGTCAGTGTGCACCTTTGTGAGACTTGAGATTTTCCCGCCTGTCTCACTCACCCACGCATCATACGGGCCCCTGCCAGGCCCCTGGTCGATCTGTCTATGTGCCCCTGCACTGACTCCTCATTACCACATGAATACAGACAGGCAAAGGCCTGCTATGGCTTGGACGCCAACAGAAGGCAGGAGATTTGCAATTCAAACCTCTGACCGACCCCCTTTTTACCCCCACCCATATCCTCCCAGCCATGTATACTGGGACCGGACCTGTCACTGCTATGATTGAGGATCTATACATGTGGAGAAAAGGGAGAGAGACAGACAGATGTGCATTCACACACTTCATGACATGCTCCCTGTATTTCCATGCTCTTAAAGAGATAAAATGTGAGAGAGAAATAACTGATCAACTAAAGTTATTGTTTCTGCACACATTTAACTGTAAGCAAAGTAAAGTGCCCCCAAGGCTTCAAGGCTATTTTAATGTTCGTGACTTTGATTATTTACAGCTGCCTAGAAATAACATACCCACTCTAATATATAAAGTATATATATATATATAGTATATATAATATATAAATATAAATAAATAAATAAATAAATATATATATATATGTATATTTTTATTTTTTTTATATTTATTTATTTTTTATATTTATTTAATGCATGACTTTACTATATTTTAAAAGTGTAAATATATAAATAACAGTAACACTGGAAACCTCACCTTCATCTTCAGCAGCAGTATAGATACATGAGTGTACTGTAGTGCATCTTTTATACACTATGAGCGCATCCATGCTGTAGTGTGAAAAGTTCACCCCTGACGTCACTTCCTGTTCCGTCTCCTCTCACATGTGCCAACAACATGGCAGCGTCCGTGTCCATAAACTTGGAGTTTGGGTAGGCTTAATTAGATTTTTAAGCGGTTTGTTACCTTACTTTCATTGTAGACTTAAAACGGATTTACGGCGGCAACTTTAACAATACATATGCATATTTAAAATATATTTGTCGAGTCTCTGCGTCCTAAAATACGAGATTATTTGTCAGAAAGGCTAGCTTTTAGCGTAGCCCAGTGTAAATTCATATATTTTTATGCATTTAAGTTTATTTTTTTAACAATGAATTGCGACATTTTCATCGAAGACAGACGGTCCATGTGAGAATTCATTAATTCTAACCTGGTGAAAGAAGAATCATAAAAAAAAAAAAATCTTTAATATGAATCACTTTTTAATTATTTCTGTCATTATGTTGCATACACGTTTTTAAGATCTGTAATGTTATAAAACTACTGCTTTAACCAGTGTCTGATTCTGTCAGGGGAGGCGCAGAACTGCTTTTCGATGGAGTAAAGAAACATAATGTGACTCTTCCAAGCCAATCAGAACCATGTGAGTATCTTATACTTCCATAGTGAGTAGACTGTTGAAGGGTGTAATGAAGTAATTAAGATGAGCATTGAATAGAGCTTGAACTGTTAAAATTCATTTTTTACATTCTCCTTTACTATCTTGTTCTTAATTCTCTGTTTAATATTTCCGATAAATAATCCTGCTCTTGCACAGTTTATTTTCTTTCTTGCAATCAAGTAACCAGAGACTAGAATATGATTTGATGAAATGATTGTCAAAGATTTGTTTCCAAAATTAGCAGTAAAATGTAGCTTTTTTGTTTAATTAAACAACAAGAGTTTTCTGGACCAGCCAAACCATTTAGCATTTTTAGAAAATGACTCTACATTGGCAGAAATATTTAGAAATAATTAATAATAATAATAATAATAATAATAATAATAATAATAATAATAATAATAATAATTCAATTATGCAAAGCTACCTTACTCTAGTCCTTAGGAGAAGGAGGGTTGGGTTAGTATAATTCCTCTTATTTACTTGATCAGAGATATTTACATTACATTTGACTCTTCCCTCAACCATTGCATCAAGGCAACCAGTAAGGATATTGCTGTTAATCTGAAGTATTTAGCAGCAGGATTAGCTGCTGCATGTTTAGGGCTTTGATGGATGCCTGTCCTGCCCATAAACAGGGAGCAAAAGCAACTCTAGCCTCTTGTAGCCCAGGAACTGAATCGGGGGCATACTTGTCAGGAATCTTTCTTGAAGGAATGTATGAGGAGTTGAGAAAGCATTTTCTTGTGGGACTAAAGCTGAAAGTAAATGTAGCAATATATCTTCACAGAATTTCCACGGGATGATACTAGTGATGCTGGATTTTTAGAGGGGAGAGAGATGCCTATGAAAAAAAAAATATATATATATGTGAAACTTTAATGTTCCTTTTGAGAGAAGCCAAATGCTTGTCCAGGACTTTTCCAGCTCACTTCCTGCATGACGTCTGCTTACTCGTCAATACATAAAACTTCTTCACCCCTGGATCCATATTGATTGGATTTTATGTGACTGTGAGGCCCAGGCTTCTTCTATCACGGGTCACTAACAAGTCATAGCGGTGCCAAGGGAGACCTGCCTGCAGCTCTTTTCATCTCCTAACCTCAGCAAACGACTGGGTCGAAAATTGGTAGTTTGATAGTTGTTTGTTTGCCGATATTTGTAGATGCTATACATTTAAAAAGTTAGAATTGCCTCAGGCTAAGGTGTTTTAGCAGTGTTGCTTATCCCTGCAAAAAAGGAAAATATGTGTCTTTGGTATTTGAACAAACAAAGGGGTTTCATCCATGATCCTATGCTATGTTACTAAGACAACAAAAAGACAAAAGTTAGCCGAAAATGGAATGTAAGACACAAATGACCTTGCTGCACCAGCCTCAGTTAAATATATGGCCACTTATGGGGAGTCGAACTGGATCTGTTCAACTGTAGCAGCTCCTATTCAACTGTAGCAGCTAATTTTGAACAATAAAAAGATGCCTATTTAGCTGAGCTGTGTCAATCATTTGCCATACTTGATTATTATTAAAGGCTCAGTGGTGTTATTCTTTTTTTTGTTTGTTTTTAGCTTTTTTGTTTATTACTACCTTAACTCCTGTTTATTCTTATGTAAAATGTTTAAATAAATAAATAATAAATATATATATATATATATATATATATATAAATTATTATTATTATTATTATATTTTTTTGTGTCCTGTAGGTGCGTAATTGTCTGACCATAGCGATCAGCGGGTGCAGAGCGGGCAGATATAATTGGTTCTCAATCCTTCGCATTTCGCTTTGACCCCAGCCCGGTGATTGATGACCCTCGACTGAAAGCCCCCACCCCCACACAGACACTCATATCCACAACAAAACCCCCTGGTCTGTACGCCACGCACACTGTTCGCCCCACGCATCACCAGCAAGATGGATCGCTCACCCCAGTCTCTTCTCCCATCTCAAAAGCAACCGTCATAATTATGCACAGACTCCAAATCCAAAAGGAGAAACTAGCCAATCGTTTTTTTATTTTTTTAACCACAATGCAAAGCGGCTAGGGTTTTAAATTGCGTCAAAATGGCGCCTTTTCTCTCCCTTCGTTGATTTCTCCTTTCCCACCCACGCATCGCAGGCTTTCCCAGAATGCACTTGGAGCTTGTGACGCATTTTCACTCTTTCTTCTATACACCCTCATCCTTTTGCCCCTCCATCTGTACCTTATCGTGATCAACCCTGTATTTTCATCCAACGTCACTCCCCTGAGCCATACACTATTTAATCTGTCAATTTGCACTGGGATTGAATATTTCACTTAAAACATTAGCAGTTGTGTATGTATACCATTACACAGGGAATGCCCCCAGTGGTTTACTTGCTCTATTTGCCAAAGTTGGAATTAATCGTCAAGTTAAGGCTACCAGTTTATTTTAACCATGCAACTTTTTACATGCTTGACAGCTGAGCGCATTGGAAGAAGGATATAAAATTATGAGGGCAAAAGGTAGAAGCATAGAGAGAGAAAAAGGGAGGGGGGTCTCGTTTTATGAGTGTGTGTGAAAGGAAGAGAGCCCGAGCAAATGAAAAAGTAAATGGGCAGCGGGATGAAAGAGCGAATAAGGGGTAATGGTGGAGAAAAATACCAATAGTCCGAGGCAGAAAGGAGTCTCCGCAAAGAAGGAGTTATGACTGCACTAGTGATTAGTTCTGTTTTTAGCCCTGCAGAGGGACGGGTCAATATTCACAGCTTTGTCGTTTTTTTTGTGTGTGTGTCTTTTAAAGCAAATTGTTCATCTTTTTTGTATATGTTTTTTCTTTCATTCACAAGCCCTCAAGAAACCCGGTGCTATCATTATACTACAAAACCGCAGACAGCCGTGCAATTAACCTGGCCATGATGCAGCGAGGCATGCCTCAGCGCACGTGTATTACGTACAAAGTCAAATGTATTTATATATATATATATATATATATATATATATATATATATATATATATATATATATATATATATGTGTGTGTGTGTGTATATAGATACACATCCTCTGGTATGTTTCCCACAATGACAAAGCAGATGTCTCCAGAGGTTTATTTGCCATCCAGAGACACGCAGAGTTGGAATGATGAAAGTGCAGGCATCTTAACCAGCACTTTAAGCTTGTCTGTTTTTTTCTTTATAACCTTACCTAGCCTATGTAGATTTTTAAAATGGGTGTGCAGCTTACTCCATTTGAAGTGCATGTTCTGCAGTTTTAAAATAACACCTTAATCCTGGTTAAGAAATTGCTATGATCAAAACATAAATGAATAATCATCTCGTGACAATACAATGGGTTTGAAGATGTGACTTGTATTACAGGCACTCAGACAGTAGTGATAATTTTATACATTGCATCACAATGGATATCCCAAGTCATCCATAGTGAATATGTTTTAAAATTGTGAATTGTAATGTCTAGCATGCCTGCGGCTTTATCAAGAGGGTCAAACGGCAGCACGCTCAGCTAATGTGATATTAGCTTTTCGTTTGATACAGCTGAACTCTTGAGTGTATGTGATGTAGTACGCCCACAGACTCCTGCTCTCTCCATACACCTGATTCGGATGGCTCCCCTCTAATCTCTTCCATCTGCTGCTGCGGTTCTGTTTGACTTTAAATGTTAGTCATTTTTTGTTATGGCATCTTGTTCGGTTATTCATAGGTATATGTATGTTCCAAGTTGCCGTGCTGAAGTCACGATTTCAAGTCATCCTTCCTCTATATATTTCACACCTGTGATCGCACACATGTACTGCACACGTGAACGCAGATAGCAATGACCGAGGGAAAATGCTTCACCTATATACCCCACTAAGTCTATACATAGCTTTCTGCTCTGTGTCAGAATGAAAAGTCCATAAGGCCACACACACGCCCGTACACCACCAAGTTGAATCTTTAGCGATTATGTGCACCATAACTTTAATATATTCATTGTTAGATGTTTAGTGGGGATTTATCCGTAAAACCTCTCATTGTCATTGCCTTTGTGGCTGTCAGTCTGATGTGGCGAGGCTCAAGCCATTGTTGAGACAGGGTCAATCTGATTGTTCAAGGGTCAGACTCATAGAAAATTCAAGCATCACTGATATCCACAAGCAGGCTGGACACATTAGGGTTTGACTTGGACTAAGGATATTATTCTTGGACTTTTCATTTCGCTTCTTATTGGGATGGGGCGAAGCGGAATAATTTCACCACCGGCCCTATGTGTGTGTTAATGAAGAATGCTGCGTCGTAGGTTTTAAAAGTCATCTATCGGTTTCAGAATGATGAAACCCATAGAGAGATGCCATATTTAATTTAATAATTAAAAAAAAGAAAAAAAAGAAAATGAAATATATCTTTTGAATGGCAATAATGCTCAAAAATACTGCATGCAACAAGAATCGAAAGCCCATAAATAGGATAAATTATAAACTATAATAAAGGACGAAATTAATTTTTCTATGTCATTGGACTGGTCTCTCCATCCAAGGTGAACGTTGGCGGTCTTGGCTGTGACCGGTCGACCCTCCCCCATTCTTTTCAGTGTCCCCCCAAACGTACACTCATCCATATACATGCGCCTCCCCACGCACACACAGTATAGATGCATGTATAGCCAGCTTCATCCCGCCTGGCGCTTCTGTCGCGTCACATCGACCAGGAGGCTGGAACTGCGCACCTTGACCCCTGACCTCTCACCTTTGCCCTCTGTTGTCTGCCCCGGCTTTGTGCCTGTGTGTGTGCAGGGGACGTGAAGCAGCTGCTGGTGTGGATCCAACAGAACCTGCTGAAGGAACGACCTGAGCTCTTTGTCCAGGGCGACTCTGTGTAAGTGAGGAGCCTGCACTTGACACACACTTGATCTGTTATACTAATATATTACATGTATGTCATCCCTAAAGGAAAGTTTGACAGATATTCAAGATTTGAACTTGGTATTGCTATAAAAATGCAATGACTTGCATTTTACACTGAAAAAAATTGTATTTTAACTGGAAGATGGCAAATAGTCTAAAATGAGAAACTGAAGTTAGGTTGCTTTTGATTAATTGGTTAATTAATGGCCATTATGGGCTTAATCTTTAATACTGAAACGCGTTATGCTGTATAGAGGAGGGGCAAAAACATCTGAGGACACCCAAAAGGCCTGCTGTTTCCTTAAATGTGCAGGTCTGTAATAGTTTATAATCCCTGCTTGGGTGACTATTATTTATTTCAGAAAAAATTGAGATAAATGTTAAACAGCTTGTTTATCTGAAATGTAATGTACAATATCAAACCAGTGCTCAGTAATGAATTGATAAAAATTGATAATGTGACCAGTTAATTGATAAAAGAAATAGAACAGAATTGCAACATGTATAATTTCATACTGTATAATAATGAAAAAAAAAAATCATTATTTTTAACTGGAATTTTAAAGTTTTAATACACAAGCATATTTTGGACACAATAGTCAACCCAACCCTTTATCACAGTCAAATATTTTCATCCAAAGTAAAGGCTTGTATATATTAAGTAAAAAATCAAATTTATGTATTTATGATGCTGTAGATGTATTAAATTTATTAAAATGATTATTGGGCAAATTTTGATTTGATTATGTTTGAAAAGGCTATAAAAGTACTGCCTATGGTAATAATTTGAAAGACGCCAACACTAATCTCACAAAAACTAGTAACAATGTAAAAAATAATTGTACTTTTTATCAGCGGTGTAGGCTATAGGTCAGGGTTCATTTCTTCTACCTTCTCTTTCTCCACTTCTCTGGGCATGCTGAAAAACGGCTAACCTTCAGCTGATAGCTTTGAGTGCAATGATTACCCGTGTGCTTGTGTGCGTTCGTCCTCACATGTGTGTTTGTGTGCGTCCGGGGCACACAGCAGCCTTATAGGACTGGCTGACTTTTACAGCTGCCTTTGTGCTCGACTATTTATAGCACCACCCCACCAATGAATGGAGAAAAAGCAGGGCTACCTATAAACCCTATAGATTAGATGCGCGTTTGGTGTGCTGCACTGAGAGTCAGCACTGTCTTTAAAATACAATAGAATCAACACTATCACGAACAACTGCTTTTTGAATATTATTTGGTATCCTTTGCTCTTTTTTGTCATCATGGCTGTCTGCAGATGCTCATTTTCACTCACATCATATACAAGGTGTAGTTGCAGACAATTGTTCAAACTACATTTTTACCAAATCTGCTATGTATGTTCATGTATAGTTGGTCTAATGCTGTTTCACATATAGATTTTCTTGTTTTTATTTTTCCTCAAGACAATCATAACAATTTTTTAAAAGTGTGCACTGGTAGGGGCCATGCTCTCACCCTCCCCCATTATCCCATCATGCTTTTAGATGACTTTTTTCTTTCCCTTTTTTTTTTTTTCCCAAACGAGAGATATTTTTGGACCCTCATTAATTTCCACTGACAGTTTTACCTTATTATACCTTATTGCTAGTTTATTACAAAATTATCTTCATCTCTAGTTTTGGGCTATATAAAAGAATTATGCACACTAAATGCAACAGCAATGATAAATGTGCCCTATGAAAAGATGCTGTTTCTATACACACATTAAGCCTTTTTTTCATTAGTTTTGCAGTGTTTCTCTTTCTTGCATAATGTATCAAAAAGTACTGATAATTAATAATGCTTAATTGATTTTATTATCATTGTATTATTTTTGTGAAGTCACCATAGCCTGTGCAGTTTCTTGTAATAAATGTTAATATTTTTGTTACATAGAAATTTCTCTTTTTCTACATTTAAGTTTATTATTCTTTGAAAATACAAAATATTTATTTAATTATGTTATGTATGTATGTATCCAATTTTTAATAAATGTCTAAAAAAATAAATAAAAAATGTCTGAAAAAACAAACAAACATGTTAAAACATAGTCTGCTATTTAAAAAAAAAAAAAAAAGGTTCAGGTTATACAACTTTTTTCAGAGACACTTTTATTTATTTTTTTATTATTTTTTTTTTTTTTTTTTTGGTGAATTTCATTTTAACAGTATCAATGATGCTGTTGTCTTTTCCCATAGGAGGCCAGGGATACTGGTGCTTATCAATGATGCAGACTGGGAGCTAATGGTGAGCATCAACGCAATGTTTACTGTCATCTATACCATGCCATGAGAAAACATTTTTTTTTTTTTGTTCAGCCATCAACAAGTCAGAAATGTGATGTGTTTTATCCCACAGTATGCAAAAGAGCTTCATTCTACATAAATCTCATCTCTTGACTTCTATGAAGTAAAGGAATGTGATTCTTGTGGTGATTATTTAGTTCTTATGCCTGCTATGTTCCTCAGAGTAACGTGTCCTTAGGGTTCGATCACTGAATACACACTCCGAGCTTCACATCCCCCGGATTACTATATACCACAGATTCATATGAATTAAATTAAATGCTTGTCATTGATTAGATCCCCTTTCTGTTCTTATGAGTTCTGCACATTTTCTCAGTGTTTGTAAAAATATATACATTTTCTATAATCTAAATGTATAATATTTTGTTCTTAGGGAGAGTTAAAGTACCAGCTGCAAGATCAGGACAACATCGTGTTCATTTCAACACTTCACGGAGGATAGATGGACAATAAATTAGTGCATTAACATTTATAATATAGACTCGGGTCTTTGTTCACTTCCTCTTTGTGACATCTCAACAATGTGCCTCCTGATTGGACGCGGTGCAGTGCCAGGCCTCACTGTGGCCACTGAGCTAATAGATGTTTGTCTACAGGAATGACTTCAGCCGCAGTTACCATGAAAGGCATGCACTCTGTGAGACATGCTGATTATGTTGGACTAAAGAGCTTTTTTCCTCAAGAGTGACCTGACTGCAGAGCCACGGCTTTATTTCTGTTTTTGTCAAGTACTATATTATGGCAAAAGAGATTGGGTTATTGATTAGCCTTGTTTAATCATTTTATTTTAAGTAGTATAGGTGAAATATTAGACAATATTGTAGTAGACCATTAATTATTATGTACACAGTGGCTACAAGCATGCATACAGTATACAACCCTTTTTTGCTCCACCTTGAGCCTTTTATGATGTACAATATGTTTATGTAATAATAATAATAAAATAAATCACTTTTTGTTTTTTTGTATGTTTGGTTGTTTTTTTACTTTGTAATCATGCTTGGTAGACTGATGCTACTTTACTTTTATATCTCAATGATAAACTAAACAAAAAACAAAATAACTGTAATCACATGTCTTCAATTACAGGACGTTTTAATTAGCAAAGGATCTCCCCATATTAAAGTAGGCGGCCCACTGAGAGGCTGCAGTGTCTAACCAGAACAGCTGTAGCTCAGTTTGGGCTGCAACACTGAGAGGGCCACAGCCAAACGTTTGACTCAATTAGGATTTGACATGACGCCGGGATAATTCACGGTGATGGCCGAGGCTCTATCTGATCGATGTGCGCCGGCTCTGTGATCACATCGCAGTTTTAGGCTGATTAGAGCGGACTAAAGGGAGATTTTACCAAGCTCGAATATTCATAAGAGGGGGATGGAGTGTGTTTCCGCGTGTATGGGCTGGGTGGAGTGTGTGTTACAGCACCGCTGCGGGAGGTCGAGGTCTTGCCTCCAGGCTGCCCTCCCCTGAACGCCTGGGGCGACCTAAAACCTTTTTTCGGTTGTGAAGTCCGATTTGCAACGGGAAACCGAACCATAATGGCGCTAGAAAAGAAATGCTAATGAGTGTGTGAGGGAGAGAGAGAATACACAGGGTGAGTCAGCTGGTGCAGGCCAAGCGTGCACATCCTACTGTAGGCCTCTCCATCTGAGGGCGAGGTCAGAACTCAACCTCATCATTCTGCTCTCCATACAGACAGTACAATTTCAACTTTTGTTGGGAGCTTTGAATGATGTCCAACTGTTGCTATTATATCTTTGATGCCCAGCCATTAAGTGCAGCATGGGTAACCGCATTTAGACAGTCCTAACATTTATTTGTGATAGAAACAAACACGTGCAGTGCGTGCCCATCCAGAGCCTGAACATGATGTGTCCATATAACGAGCGCTGAGGAGGTGCTGATGACAGAGGTGATTAAAGGGAGCGTCTCTCATAATGAGCTCCTACATTAGGCCTGCGGTGTCTTAGGACGCTCCAAAGTTGCTGCATAAAATAAACATTCACTGACATGTGCTTGAGAGACACAGAGGGGCCAGTAAGGAACCTTTGGAAGAAATGGAGGGTTTCCTTATTTACACGGATATCAAATATTTCTTGTCAAATGGTTGTTTTAATGCAATAATTTATAAACATAAATAGTATCATAATTTATAAAAAGGGAAAGGGAAAAAAAGAAAAAATACAGCACGTGATGGCTATAGGGCACGGTTTATGGAATGCTAGCTAAATAGCTTTATTGCTTAACCTTTGCAGCAAGGCACCCACCTGCTGCTATGTGCTGCATACTGCTTGGAAATTAAAAACAAAACAAAACAAAAATAGACATTTCACCTCTTATATCATGCAAAAGGTGTAGATAATTTACAAAATAATAAAAAAAATAAATAAAATCACATTCGATTTCCAAAATCCATCTTTCAAACACCCTATTAATGACTGTACTCCCCTTTAAGCCATACTCCTCTGACTTTTAATGCTTTAAAGATCCACACAACTTTTTGACTCTGTAATCAATAAACGAAATTATTTTGGCCTTACAGTTACTCATTTTGCCTATATGTTATTTTAATAGCCCTGCATTTACATTGTAGCTAAAGCAAATCTGACTCAGAGTAAAACATGGCGTACCAATAGGCCCACACTCAGTTCTGAGACATTTAACACATGTAGTCTTTTATAATATCCCTCACTGTTGAGTTTGCATATGTCCGATTCACAGGTTTTAATGTTTACGCACAGAAATACACGGACATGGCTGTAATTTTACGCACGTGTTTGACGCTAAACTTGGATTTAAATCTATATCTGGTTAGTAAATGTTTGTATAACAATTGTTTCATTGTTATTTCGGGCATTTAACGAATATATTATTATTTTAACAGCTGAATTCGTTACTTTAGATTAATTCTATTATATGGCATAGTAACGGTTTAATCAAATAGGTCATGTTGTTTTGTTGTTTATTTTCATTTGTCTGACAACATTAGTTTATTCTAGCTTTAGCTTAATTTAACATATGTATGCTATATTGTCCTCCACGTTTTTTCACAGCATGTTTTACTGTGTTTGTGGAACGGGCAGTCTTGATTTGAGCTTGCTTTAAATATCAACTTTACTCGTTAAGAACTATTTATTTATTTATTTTCATAAAGCACATGTGCTTTCTTTTATTTTATTTGCTGAATGTTCTTATATTATATAATAAATGCCTAAATGTTTAGCTCTAGATCTAGCCCTATTTTCCTCATGGACTCCTCTGTGCTCGTGAGTGTGCTGTGCGTTTACGCAGGCCTCACTCTGGGACCACTCAACTTGCTGCTTCTACTATTTGCCAAAGACAGTCGATCCATCGATGCTTTAAGTCGATATTTGCCATTTAGAACAAACAGTCTTGATTAGATCTTCGACAAAGTGTAAATACCAATCGGGCCAACCACAACGCTCGGCTTGAAAAACACATACATGAAGCAGGATCAGGTTGACTTGACTTTATTGGCCCTTGCCTTCGGGATTCTGTCCACAACATGCAAACATGGCTTATGCTGGGTCTTACCTGAGTGCAACAGTTACAGAGCCATGCACAGACTGTCTCTTTTGTGCGTGGAGGCCCTCGTTGTTGCTGTGGCGCTTGGCCAAAGCCACAGTGGTGAATGGGAGCCTGCAGCAACAGATGTCCATACACAATTCTTGGGGATTACTTTGAGTTTACACAAGAATTGCGTTTGGACAATCAGTAGCTAAAGACTCGTGCATAGTGCGCGCTGGTTTAAGAAGAAATTAAGTGTTTAAAGACCCACAGGGACCGTGTAGGCCTACTGTGCACCTGCTGAGACTATGAATGCCCTTAGCGTTGGCCTGGAGCACCTGACGTCTTCTTGCGTTTTCTATTGCAGAACTGTGCGTTATTTTTGACACCTTGCTCAGCATTGGCTTGCCCTTTCATTACAAAAAAATTGCTTCACCATACAAACTAAAACCAAGATAAAGCAGCTACATCTAGGCTCCAAGTAGGCCTATAATAAATCTCAACGACTTATTTAAATAGGATACTTCCAACACAATAAACGCACAAAAAGTCTACATTTGTTATATCATGAAAACTAACAGCGAATAACTGACTCTCGCGTCCCCTGCGGCCTTTGTTGTCCCAGTGCCCGTAGTTGTAAAGTTAAAGCCTTTCAAGTGGGAGTCTCTTCACAACTCTGGGCCCTTAAGATGGCCACTGCATTTTCAATGAAATGTCATCTCCTCTTTCGCTCAAGAGCGTTTACTTTTCAAGTGTCTGGAAAGGAGTGAAAGCCATGGCACCAAACAGCGCAACTACTTTGGTATATTTCAAAGTCCTTGATGCCAGAGAAGCCATTTCTGCACCTGTGTGTAGTGACATCGATCTTGAAAGCAGTGTTCACTTGTGATGCCTCGGGTTACACACAATGGCTTTCCACGCGCGTAAATACGAGACCGGTGATTAAAAAAACATTGATATTCTTTCCCGTAGTAATGGAAAAGGAGGATAGACATTAGTTCCGTTGGTGCGTCCTTGGTTCGGTTCCATCGCCGGTCTTGAGCCGATGCTCGGTCCGAAACCCCAGCACCACCAGTGAGCAATGGAACGAGTAAAAAGGCTGAGGACAGAGAGAGCAGTTGAGCTATAACCCTCCGAACCGATGCTCCGTCCATTCACGTTGGTCCTCTTCCTCTGCTGCCATCCTCGCTCCGTGGCGCTCTCTGACAGACTGGCTGCTAACTGGACGCACATCTCTCTGCGCTCTGCTTTTCTTGCGTCGCTCCACAAAAAGGCGAGAGGAGTGGAGCCGCTCCTCGCTTGGTACTGAATTTGAATAACACCACGGGGTGATAAATGTCCATTGTACTGCTTAAGTAATGAATCTGCGCTGTCCTCTGTGTCACACAGCCTCGTGCGCGCGCACATACACACGCGCCAGCAGCTGCGATTGGGGACCAGCAGCGCCTCTTAAAGACACAACAGCCCCATTTTCTCCCCAAAAAGAGATTACAATCCCCACACTGTTTACTCTCTGTGCGCGCTGCATGACGCGCAGTGTTGCTCTGTGGCGTGAGTAAACTCTGGTGCAACGCCGTGACAGCACTCGGCATAAAGTGGTGCTATTCGCGCCGTGTGCCGCTCTGCAGAGGGCTACTGTAGGCCTCTGACTGTGCTCCAATGTAACATATGACACGAGGCACAGTGCAGTGGGGCCCGGGGACCTTTGACAAGCACACAGTGCCTCACTGTGAGACCTTTTCAATCCTGCAACACTGTTATAATGTTATATCAACAAATAACCTCTGACCTATTGAAATATTTATTGGATGTATTCACAAAACAAAACCAAGCTTTTACTGGAGAGAACTGTTCCACGAAATAAAAAAAAATAAAAATCTAAGCTGTCCACTGTAAAAAATTAATTATGCACTGATAAAAGTAAAACAAAAGTAAAAACATATCAGTGTTACAAATCAGTTGAGACTAGAAGCATCATTTGTTCACAGTCATTCTTTTATTTCAAGTTCAAGTATTCTTTTATTTTAACAGAATATCATTTTTACATCGTTCAGTGCCCCCAGAATAAACTGATTGCATCAAACTTTTCTTTTCCAACTCGAACAACAACACTCACTGTAAGTTCTCCAGCAATTTATTTTGTTGGATACTTATTCATTTCTATTTCAAATTCTAAAATAGCTACGAGTCGTTCCCCCACCCCCATCCCTGTCTATTGCTGCCTCTGCCTCACTCTCTGATTTTTCCCTCTCTCTCTCTCTCTCTCTCTCTCTCTCTGCCTCTCTATCCCTCTCTGCCCCTGATTCTCTGATTCTCTGCTTCTCTCATTCTCTCCTCTTTCTCCTACTCTCTCACTCTCAGTCTCTCTCTCTCTCTCTGCTTTTCTCAGCCTCTCTGTGGATCTCTGAGTGTTTCTCTAATAAATCATCCTGACTGG